AGAGCACAGAGGGGAAGAGAGTGTCAGGGGAGAGTTATTACCTGATTTGGGGATTTTAAGAAGTCCCCAACTGCTGTTCCCATGATGTGGTCTGAAAGCAAGGTGTGACTGCACCCCCTCTGAATCTGCCCCAGTTAGGTTGTATTTTCAAGGGGAAGAAGGACAGTCACTTCCCCCTCGGTCATTTAGTTCCTGTTCCTCTTCCTCTCCTTGAAGCTTCTGTAAAGCTCAGGCTGGTTTCTCAGGGTTTTCAGCTCCCAGTGGGGTCTCCCACACGCCCGATAGGAAGGACTCTATTAGTGGCCACAGTCACCCTTGGCTCCAGGGGATGGAGTGGTCTACCCTGAATGTGACAGGACTGTAAGGGATCTGCAGACAGGCTCTGAATGGCGTCCGAGATCACCTACGCAGAGGTGAAGTTCAAGGACCCATTACCTTCTGAAGAGGCCAAAGGTAAATACCCAACAGGGGAACGGGGCTAAGGGGGCTGGGCTGGGGAATGGGCTGTGGAACCTATTATGTTGAGTGCTCAAGTTCCAGCCTGGCTCTGAGAAACAATTGACACAGGTGAGCTTATTACCGAGAGAAGTTAATCAGAGGTATTTCTTGGATAGAGGGAATTGGGAATGTGCCTCCTTGCAGGGCCTTTGCAGCCCCACACTTTTGTCTGTCTGTGAGCTCTGAAGGAAAGGATCAAGGAGGAAAGTCTTGAGGAGACATGGATTGAGGGATCTGAAGCAGTTCAGGGATCTCCACGGAGCAACCAAAAAGGGCTAAGAGGTACTGTGAGGGGCGTTACTAGGGACACATGCAGGGATTGGGACAGAAAAGTAGGTCTAAAGAGTAAGTGGACCAACCAGGGGGAAGACTTGGCAGGCATGAGCTTTGCGCTGTCTGTGGTGCAGGGAGGGCGTGCCACCACATTCCCTTAAAGAGGGCTAGGGCCTGGTAAATGTGGTGCTGTTTGAGATGGGAGCGGGGAGGATATCATAAACCCTGATCAAATTTAAATTCTAGTGTGAATTTGGAGAGATCCGGGAAGATTTGGCAATTCGGACGTAGACACAGCTTTAAATGTTTTTTCTACAAACCTCTAGGTAGCAGATGGCTTGTGAATGCTGCAGTGTTGGGGTGCATGGAGTGTCCCAGGGGACCATGGGGGGCTCCCCAACGTGCTCAGCAGCAGACCTGGAAGTGGACCAGATGCACTTCCGGTCCACTTGCAGGTTTGCTGCTGAACATGTGGAGGGCCACCCCCCTGTGGGATGCTCCACCCACCCCAGCATCGCAGCATTCACAAGCCACGCTGGTAACCTTGAGGTATGTAGAAAAAACATTTAAAGCTGTGTCTATGTCCGAATTGCTGATTCTTTGAATTAGCATCGAATCTTCAGATTCAAATTTGGCTGAATTGAATCAGGGACAGTGATCTGAATCAACAAATTGAATCACTGTCTCTGATTCGGGCTGAATCCAAATCCGAATCAAATAGGGCCCAACTTCGCACACCCCTAATGGCTGCTTTATTACAGCAGACATCTGTTTGCTTTATGGCAGAAAAATGTGGGCAGCCACGAACTTGCCTCTTCCTTTCCCTCAGTGCTCTCTTTGCTGGTGCCCTGCTTATCCTACCTGTAGTACACAGCGGGCATGTCTGCATGTTCATTAATGCACTGTAATTACAGTCCATTACATTTAGTACCTGTAGTAACAGGTACTAACTTAATGCACCGTAATTGGCGTTCCTGCGCATTAGTGTAGATTAATGCTTTTTAAGCGACATTAATGCGCATTAGGCTAAATCTACTGCACATTAGCTCATTAATACGGATTTTGCCAGCTGCACTAATGTGCAGTAGAATTAGTCTAATGTACATTAAATGTCTCATGTAGATGCATCCATTGTGTTATATCAGGTGAAGGAGGAAAGCAGACTAGAAGAAATCAATCTGCTCTGGGATGGGCAGAGGATACCAATTAACTCCAGAGAAACTTCTCCCTGTCTGTATCAAGGTCATTGTAGAGTGTGGTGGTTCTGGGCTCTGCCCAGGGAGATGTGGGCTTTCTCAGACCCTTCAAACTCTGGCTATTTGCTTGCTGGAATAGTAAAGTTTGACTGAGAATGTGACCATGCCCTGAGGCTGTCTTTGAGCTGGCTGCAGCTCCTGGATAAGGTCTGGTATTGTGTGTGGTCAGGAGGATTTTCCCTCTGCGGCACATCCCAAACAGACTGGGATTTTCTAATCAGAATTGATGGTTTCGGGATTTCTTCACCCTTAGCACCGAAAGAGAAGAGCCCACCTCAACATGAACCCTGCAAACCACCCCAGTGGCTCCTGTGGTTGATCTCGGGGCTGTTGCTGTTGCTGTGTGTTGTTCTCCTTGTTGTCTTCTTTGGTAAGTAAACCCAGGTGAATTATCCAGGGAGGGAAGGGAAGTGTTTAGGAACGACACTTAGAAGGCAAACAGCTGAGAACTGAGTGCATAAAACTGAACCAAGAGGGAAATAACATGCTGGACAGAAAGAAAACCTATCATGGCTGGAGCAGACTATCAGACAATGACAAGTATCCAAACAGAAGGGCAAGCCAGGAGTCTGGGCCTAGAGAAAGGACAGGAGAGCACTGTGTAGAGAAGAATGCCTCACATTTCCTAGTGTGTTAAGAGATGCACAGTGTGACATTGTAAAGCTCCTGTGCTATAGCTTGGGTCAGTTCTGTATAGCTCAGGCAAGCACCTGCCCTGCAGCACTTGTTAAGTGCACTGACCCAGTTACTACCAACCAAGGCCAGCTGACCCCCAGCCCCTTCCCTCTGATTGCTTCTGGGGCTACATTTAAGGAACTCCTCCAGCACCTGAGCCTTGCTGCATAACACAATGGTCTCCAGTGTCTGAACAGCCCCTATCCCAGTGACTTCTTTGGCTTCCCTGGTTCCTGACCCTGCCTTTGGTTTGCTCCTGGATTTCAGCTTCTGGATTCTCCCTGTAGATCTGTTTTCTGACTCCTGTTCCTGGATTGGTTTACTTTTGGACTTTGCCCTACAGATTATCCTCTGTACTTGGTGGGCACATGCAATTAATGCAAAGTAACAAACTCTGGACCTTATTGCCCTGGAGTTTATTACTCCTGGGTGTGCCATTTGAACATGCACCCAGGATCACAGCACACTGAGCTGAGTTGGAGCAACCTGCTCTGGCTTCAGGTCCAGGGGTTCAGTCTGCCTGTCTGGAGCTGCTCCCCACTAGTTCAACATGCTGCAGAGGGGCTGACTGGGGCACAAGGGTGCTCCAGTTCAGGGCTAGCCAGAAGGCAGCCCCCCATGCTGAAACACCCTCATGTCCCAGCCAGCTGAGGCATTGTCTACTCATGTGCTGCTGTGGAGTAAAAAACTCAGCAGCAGGACAGTACTTGTATTTACAAGTACTATCATGCTGCAGAGTTAATTAGTTTACCCCAGCCTAAAAGGGGCACATGTGTAGTACCTCAACGTAAACATCTTGCGTAGACATGCCGGTAACTAGGTTTCTGATTCCTGGCTCCTAATCCTGGCTTGGCATTTTGGCTCCTGACTTGTGGCTTCTGACCCTTACCCCTGAAATCCCCAGCTCCATGACTGGCTTTATCCACTAGGCTGGCTGGCCTGGTGAACTATGACAGACATAGAGAAAGTCTTCTTGGAAATATTGCGTATTGAGGAATTGTGGCTTCCCAGTATGGATTGGGCCAGGAGGAGCTTTGTGGTGTGGCAGAACAGGAACAACGTTAGCCACAAAACCCTTGCAAAAGTAGTAGTAAGTCAGCTACCTTTTACTGTAAGGAGTTCTTTCTGTAAGTTTCTGTACATAATAAAAAATCACTTGCACAGCACAATTCTCATCAAGATACTACACACAGGTCCACCCTGACTTACACACTCCCCTATAATGCTAACATCAATGTTTTATTTCAAGACATGCATCATGCCTGCATTATTATGCTCTGGTACAGTTACACACCTTGTTGTAAGTAGTTTGCTTCATCAGGCTGGATCTGTCCAGAGGTGGAAAAAAAAGCTTGTAGATTCTAAGGCCAGAAGAGATCATTGCATCACTTGGGGCTGGCCTCCCACATCACAGAGACCCAAAAGTTTCACCCAGTTTCCTATGCCTGGGTAAGGCACTCAGTCTGGCAAAGCAACTCTAATATTCCTTCATCCTATGCACCTACAGTCACTCATACTGCAGATATGTTCTTCTTTGTCCTGAGCTATTTGATCTTTCCTTTCTGCTGCATTAAAACACATTTAGTTGGAATGGGCCCAGGTTACCAAAGACTGCACCATTGTTTGTCCTCTTCCTCATTCACTATTTTGCCCCTTGTTGTATATTTCCACATGTTCCATTTGTCATGTGTTGCTTTTTCATTTCAAATGGCCACCTTCACATGGCATAAATCAGGATGTGTTTTTTGTTAATGATTACCTTTTTCTTAACTGTAGACAAAGGGCTCTTTGGCCACTTAGTAAACACCCTCAGCTTCCATTCACATGGTCCTGTCTGCATTTTTTCTCTTTGGCAAAGGTTGCTTAGTTTTGGGAAATTGGTTCTTTGGAAACACGAGGTATACATGTGACTGACTGCAACCATCCTCTCTTCCTGGTAACAAATATAGAAAAGTTGTCATTATTGTTCCTTACAGAACCCTCTATTTCCTAGGCTAGGGCTCAGTTCCTCTTTATGCATCATAATGAGCTTTGAAATACAGCCAGTCCATGTTGAACATAGTACCTCTGTTTTCGGAAATCCCCATACATAGTTTCTAGAAAATAGAATGATGTCTTCTTACCAATTAAACTGGACCTCTAGAACATGACTCCCAAACTGAAATCTTCCTAACACCACTGTTCTTCTCTCCCCAAACTCAGTCAGGGGCTAAAGGTCCTGTTCTTTGGTCATATTTGATGGTCTAAATTCCTTAGGTTTGGAGGGTAGCCAGAAAGGCATTAAACTAACACCAACTGACCCTATCCATTCTCCCTGCCTCAGCTAAGTGAAGTAGCACAGTGCTTCGTGTGCATTAAACATTCTTTGCCTCTAAGGTTTCAGTACCTTTACAGCAAGTGATGGTGCCTTTACCAGGAGAGTGATCCTGCCATCCATTACCCACCTTCTCCTTGCTAAACAGACTGTGACTTGTGCGGTCAACATTTCAGTTGGGCAAATCACCCCAGCACGTTCGTCATATCAATTAGATCACTATTCTTATCAGCAGATGAGGATTTCTAGTCCCTCTTGCTCTTTACCTAGACTTCCAAGGTGAGTATAGAGTAACAAATGAGATGACATCACCTCTTCATGTCTTTGCCAGGTGGGTTCATTATGATCACGACAAGTTGTACATGAGTTGTTGCATATTTAGTGCTTGTGTCCTATATCCAATAAAGGAGCTACAACACTGGGTCAGTTTCTGGTCACAATATGTAGAACAATTTGGTTTGACTCCAGGGAAGGAGAAGGGGTGGGAGAAAAGAAAAATGTACTCACTCCTCTTTTCTTCTCCTTTTCCAGTGGTTCCCCATCAGCAGAACTGTGAAGAGCACAAAGCCTTACCTCAGAATATCTCTGAGTGGCTCTGTGCCGTGCGGATAGCTGAAGAAGAAGGTCAGTGACACTGTAGGAGAGGGGAATTACCGCAGCATCAGAAGCAAGGCTGAGACCTGTTGCACACCCAGAGTGAGACTGACAGCAAACAGCTATAGGGGCTGCAGAGACAATGTTGTGAGATGGATAAACAAGGAGGTCTCTTGAGCTGACCAAATGAAGGCCAAGAGAGAAGTAATGATGTCATCTGTTGGGCAAAGGGAGTTGTAAAGAAAGAAGAGGGTGAGGAGTCAGTGTGGAGTGGGCAGACACAAGGAATCAAAGGGAACCTGTGCACTTCAGTCTTCAGGTTGAGGAGGAGGAAATGGTCCCTGATACTAAGGTCCATTAGATTACTGATGAGCCTGTCCAGAGGAAGGGGTGGAACCACATTAACTGAGTCGTGTTGCCTGTGGGTGCATCTACATGTGCATATCAGTGTGCAGCAATAAACTCCAGTGCATATTGTGCCAGTTTATTGCTCCCAGGCGCTGTGTGTACATGTGCATCCACAATTGCAGCATATTGAGCGGGGTCAGAGCAGCCTCATCTGGCAGAGGATCCAGTGGGGTCAGCCTGTCTGCCTGGGGCTGCTCCGACCTGGCTCAACATGCTGCAGAGGGACTGATCAAGGCATGAGGGTGCTCCAGTGCAGGGCTAGTCAGCAGGCAACCCTTGCACTGAAGCACCCTTATGCCCCAGCCAGCTCTATCAGCATCTACACATGCGTTGCTGCGTATGAAAAAACTCTGCAGCAGGATAGTACTTGTATTTATAAATGCTAACCTGTGGTGGAATTTATTAGTTTCCTGCTGCCTAATAGGGGCACGTGTGTAGATGCCAAGATGTTTACTGCAGAACTAATTAGGCAACTGCAGTAAACATCTAGCGTAGATGCAACTACAGAAGGATTTGAAAGTGTGTGGCATTAGCATGGCAACTAATATCTGTCAGTCTGCACTTGGATTATTGACCATGTTGGAGAACAGCATCTAACAGCAGCACATCCCGTGTTCTACTTCTACTCTGCAACATAGCAGACTTAGAATAGATGGGAGTAACAACTCAGTATTGTCAAGAGGGAAGGAAGAAGATGAAGTCCAGCAGGGATTTCCTACATATACTGGTGAGCACACACGCTCCTTTTCTTTCTCATCCCACCCAGAGCGGGTCTGGACATGCTGTCCCAAGGGCTGGAAGCTCTTTCGCACCAGCTGCTACTACTTGTCCCATGATACTGCCAGGCCCTGGGATGCCAGTGAGAAGAACTGCATAGGGATGGGCTCCCACCTAGTGGTGGTTGACACGGAAGCTGAGCAGGTATCTTGTGCCCATTGCAGGGGAGAGCCTTTACCCCCTCCCTCCCCGCGCACACACTTGCTTTGGCATCAGGGTTCGGAAAAGTTTCCATGTTCTTTTAGTTAAGGGGTCCCTCACTCCAGCACTCACATCCTTCAGGGACACTACCTCATGCTGTCCGATCAGCCCCTGCAGTTGGTGAGATTGCATTTTGTTTTTTTCCAGAATTTTCTGCTCAACTGGGTGAAAGGAAGAGTTTCAGATCAGAAAGAAATAAGTAACTACTGCCTTGGTCTGAATTCTCAAGAAGTGGAAGGCCAGTGGTGCTGGGTAGATGGGACGCTGTATAATAAGAGTGCAGCGTGAGTAACCCCTGGGGATGGCACTGTTACCACCTCCCCCTGAGCCCCACAATGCTGTATATGGGGTAACGCACAAGTGTGTTTGCAAAGGTGGGTAAGGGGAAGGAGAGAGAAGTGGTGCAGGGAGAGTGCAATGTTTCCTCTTGAGCTAGATTTTTGCAGGTCCAGCAAAGAGCAACAGTGCTGGGGAATATGATCAGAGGCTACAAATCCATTTCAGGGAACAGCACAGAGGGGAGCAGGGGAATATCTCCTGGTGCCTCACACACTGCAATACTCTCCACTCCTTCCTCACCAGCCCCAGCACCTTCTCCAGGGATAAAACATCCACATGGGAGAATGTGAAATCTGGGACACTGGCCCCTGGTTCCCCACCTCAGTGGCACTGCTGTAGGCACAGACAGGGCTGGGCATTGTGGTGTAGCTCTGGCATTACAATCCAGGCAACTAAGGGAGTCAATAGCTCGTTACTGACCCATTGTGCTTTACCTCATAGTTGTTAATAATCATCTCTTCTTTTTAATGGTCATGCTAGTAATCCAACAAACCTATTTTAGGGCAATCCTGCTTTCTGTTAGGGCATCCTACTTCACAGTTCCTGCTGCTCTGCCTCCCCGCCCTGTGCCCCAGATGTTCATTTTAATTTTGAGCAGCTGGCCAGGACTGGCCTCCTAAATCTGGGACAGTCCCAGCCGAAGTGGGACGTATAGTCAGCCTACCCAGGGACCCATCTAACAGTGAGCTCCTGACACTGGGGTGTCTCCTGCAGGTTCTGGATGCCTGAGGAACCTAATTTCCTTAACTCGGAGAAGTGTGCCGTCATGCAAATGGGAGGGAACAGAGCCTCATCAGAGAAGAAAACCTGGAATAATGTCCGTTGTTCCTTATGGTGTCATGGAATCTGTGAAGCTGCAGCAATGAAAATTTGATCGGAGAAGCCTCATTTTGGATGTGAAGGCAGAGAGTCGCTCACTTGGGGCAGCTCCCAGGGAGATATGGAGGGGGGAGGGTTTGAATGAACATTGGTGCCTGGGCTATAGCCATGCACGGGGGCAGGGAATGATTTTACTATGTGCAGAGGCTTAAACTAACCAGGAAAATTATTTGGGGAAAAAAGGAAGCCGCTGAACATGTTGAAAGTGGACGGAAATCCATTTCAGTCAACTTCCACCTGTGATGTCTCGAAGGTGAATGGAGACTCACCTGAGTAGTGTAGAGGGATACTGCTATGTAATACATTATTACAGATGACACTTCTGAGGGTCGTGACTGCCTTTGCTCTTATGGGAGTGTTGTCCCCAACGGACAGTGTGAGTTCGTGCCCGGTGCGCTATTGCCAAAGAACACACAGGGGTGGAGGACCCAACTTAATCTTTATTGTTTCCAGTCTGCGCAGAGAGGGGTGCTTGGCAATCGTTTGCAAAGCAAGCACCACCGGTTTCTACCTTTGGGTACCTTTTATACATATGTTTGCAAGTGTATCGCTCAGTGATTGGTTACAAGC